TGGAGCAGCGTGGGAAGGAGCCGGGGTGGTGGAGCAGCGTGGGAAGGAGCCGGGGTGGTGGAGCAGCGTGGGAAGGAGCCCGGGTGGTGGAGCGTGGGAAGGAGCCGGGGTGGTGGAGCAGCGTGGGAAGGAGCCGGGGTGGTGGAGCAGCGTGGGAAGGAGCCGGGGTGGTGGAGCGTTGGATAGGGCATGGAGGCTGCTGCCACCAGCTGCTCGGAATGCATCTTTTCAGGTTAAGAACGTGTTCTTCTTTGAACACATTTAGGAGTCCATGTTTTAGAAATAAAAGCAATCATATAAGCATGTATATACACAGATGTGTATCTGTGTATTTCAGTATTGTTGGAGAGACCAGCATAAATAAATAAAACTCCGATTTCCATGTCCGTAACAGGGAAGTGGTTCCATGCATCGGCCTGGGGGCACAAGCTCCCAAGCTCCGGCCTCCCAGCTCCCTGCAGCTGGGCAGGAGGACACAAGAGGGCGCCACAGCCCCAGGCGGCCGCTGCTGGGTGGATCCCATTGGCCAGTGGCACCCACGGGCTGGGCTGGGCTGGGCTGGGCCGGGTGGGCCTGGGGTATCATGGCCACTGGCTTTGCAGCCTGGTCCTGGGGTGTGCCCCCCTGCCCTGCATGTGCTTTTGCCGATCCGTCACTGTGAGGTCACACCCCGAGTACATTCGATGGAGTGGGAGCCTTGAGGCTGCAGCTGAAGAAAGGGCTGCAGAGCTAAACCCTGTGGCTGGGTAAAGCCTGGGGCGTCACCTGCTTTGTAAAAAGCACTTCTCTTCATGTCGCTCTGAAACCAGCCATGACTCGAGCCCATATTTTGGGCTTCAGATCAATTGCATGTTTGACACTCAACAGATAAACCCTGGCGCAAAGCCCATTGCACGCCACCAAAGCGGCAGCCTGTTGTAGACTTCGCCTGTGTGTTCATGTTTATATTTGCTTCTTTGCTTGCTCACTCGAGATCTGGATGTTCGAAAAAGTCTTCCTTCTCTATATTTTAGAGTGGGAGTAAAGTGCGGATGGGTGGGCTTCCCTCCAAATACATACTTTTAATGTCTTTTAAAATAAAATTAAATGTCTGATTTTAAAAGAAAAAAACACCCACTGAATTTAGCATTTATTTATTTATTTATTTTTGAGACAGGCTGGAGTGCAGTGGCGCAATCTTGGCTTACTGCAACCTCTGCCTCCCAGGTTCAAGCGATTTTCCTGCCTCAACCTCCTGAGTAGCTAGGACTACAGGCGTGCACCACCACATGTGGCTAATTTTTTGTGTTTTTAGTAGAGGCGGGGTTTCACCATGTTGGCCAGGCTGGTTTTGAACTCCTGACCTCAAGCAGTCCGCCCACCCCAGCCTCCCAAAGTGCTGGCATTACAGGCGTGAGCCACTGTGCCCGGCCAGGATTTAGCATTTGTTCTTTTCTTTCTGTTGGAAGAATCTTTGGGAGAATCCTGATCACCTGAAAGTGTCCCAGCTCTCAGTCAGCCAAGAGTTTCCTCTGCTGTGTCTGCAGCCTGTGCCTTGCTTTATGGTGGGGTGGGAGGGATAGGGAAAGGTTGGTGGGTGGTCCCTGGTCCTCCCTGCCTCCCATCTTTCCACCCTTTCTGGTTGCCAAACACTTTTTCAGTGTCAGGCATGTACTAGGGTTAAGCTAATGGCCAGACAAGGGCCCAGGCCTGGAAATTCATTTAGAGGAGAGAACGGCAGAAGAGTTCCAGACATCATCTCGGTAAATGCTAAACGGATCCTGCAAGTCTCCACATTGCAGTAGCCCCTGGTTGGAAGTTCTTCTCTCCCACCCTGTTGCCAGGGTTCCCTCCTACCTGTTTTTGTCATCCTACGGTTTCTGACAGTCCCAGGGAACACAACAGACACACACGTGCACACTGCACACTGCAGGCACCCACACAGGCCCAAAGCTCCCTGAGGTCCGGAGGGGTCAGCATGGCTCTCAGGTGTGTCCACTGGAGGCAGCAGCGAGCAGCATTGGTCACACCGCCCTTGGGGTCCTGACCTCCTCCTGCCTAGGGTGCACATCACAGCGAGTGTCGGGTCCCCCCAGGCCTCCCAGGCTCTGGCACTGAAGCTGGAGAAACAGATCTGGGGCCCCTGTGGAGAGGGGCCATCTCAGGACGCCTGTAGGAAGCCAGCCACTGCAGCAAACCTGGCGTGGGGGGCAAAAGGGCATGGAGGGCAGCCTTCTGAGCAACCCCAGGTTCCCCTCACTCTGCATCTTTGCCTCCTACCCCAGCCTTTGCTGTCAGGGAGGCCCCAAAAAGATGTCCAAACCAAGATCCCAGCAGGGCACGAGAGCTAGCCAAGACCTGGGGGGATGACCGCGTTACACAGAGACCATTACCCGGGGCGACCTCGGACCCACCTCTTCATGACGAGGAGCGAGTCTAACACACCTGGCAGGTTAGCTTTGTGGGAAAACAGCATTTACTGGGATTCCAGAAATGATCTCATTGCGTTTTCCTAGGTGGCATCAAAGATTTCCTCTGCCACAGATCTGATAGATAACGGGAAAGTGCTACTGAATCCACTTAGAAAAATGAAACCAAGCAAAAAGAAATCGCCACGAGCAAGTCAAGAAATGAGGTTGGTAACTGTGACAGGGGCTCAGTCCTTCCAGGGCTCAGCCAGCCACCCACGGGCAGCTGCTGTTGTTTATTTCATGAGCATGTACTGAGGAGCCCTGAACCTCCAGGCTGTGGTGGGCTCCAGGCTGTGGTGGGCTCCAGGGAGAGCCAGGTAAGCTTGGAAGATGGGGTCCTTGCCCTCAGGGAACTGCCGTCGCCCAGCCATGGTTCCTGTAGGTCACCAGGATACAGAGTGCTGCCGAGCCCTCTGTAGTGGGTGCTGCTGTGGGCACTAAGGGGAAACGCAATCCAAGACCCACCCGCTGCAGTCCCTGCCATGCCCTCCCCACCGCACCCCCTCTGCCTCCCTCGGTCTTCTCATGCTGAGTTCTGATCTCACTCCTTCCCACCCCAGCTTCCTTAGACCTGACCCTCAGGGCCGCTCAGCCCTTCCCCTCATGGGGTGTTGGGTGAGGCGGCGAGGCCAGGCGTTGACCCAGGTGAAGGGGACCCAGGCAAGGTAGCCACCATGCGGTGGAGGAAACAGCCAGAATCGAGCAGCTGTGTTGGGAAGCACTTGAGACATTTTGATTTTGAGTCCCTGGCCAGGGGGTGGCCAGGCTGCTGGGCAGGTTGTCGTCCCCGGGAGAGGCAGGCAACCACAGCCCCATCAGGCATCGTTGGTGGGCCACATAGGGGCCTGGAGTTCAGGAGAGCGGGGAGGGATATTTGGGAAGCCTGATGCTCACCTGGAACCAATGTGAGGGGAAGGGTAGGGGCTCAGAGACTTGCGCTTGGCAGCGGGGAATAGGGATGGATGGAGCAAATGGGGCTGAGGAGCACTGAGTGGCTCGACAAGTTCACGGGGCAGGACACAGTCCGCAGCGACTGCTGGACAGAGCAGAGTCAGGGCACAAGGTAAGGACAGAAGCTGGAGGCTGGTCCCTGGGTGGGTCCCTGTCTGGGCCTTGAGGGGAGGGGAGGGGCTTCGCTGAGAGGGTGACAGCAGCGGCCCAGGGTTCCCAGGGGCTCACCCCTCTCATCTCACAGCAGGTCGGGAGTCCGGGGTTCACCCCTCTCACCTCACAGCAGCATTCCTTTCATTTTCCGCAGTCACAGCTTCTATAGCTAGGTTAGTGGCTGCATCTTGGGGATGAGCACTGGGCTCCCTAGTTGTCTGCACCTCCTCTGAGCCGTGCATGAGGACCAAGCTGACACGGAACCTCAGTGTGGACACGCCTTCTTGTCCAGGCATTTCATGCTGACTCTTCAGTTGGGCCCCTGCCTCACACATCCCAGGCGTGCTGGGAAGCCGAGGGTGGCCTCAGGGAGACCACTGGAGACCCTGGGGCATGAGCACTGCTCTCCGGTGTCCCCATACTTTCCTGGCCGCTCTCTTCTGTCCTGCACCAGGCTCGCTGTGGCTCTCACTGAAGGCGCCTCAGTGGACTCAGAGGCCAGAGCAGAAGAGACCGTGGGGCCTGAGCTTGGAAGGGGAGGCCCCGGGCCTGGCCCCTGGCCCTGCTGCTGCTCAGCCTCCATCTGCCAGGGGGCTCCCTACTCAGTTTACCATACCCTGGACCCCGGCTGTGGTGTAACAAGCCTGGAGGAAGGGCGAGGTGGGATGAGATGTGGGTGACAGAGGGCATGTTCTGTTCCTGCAGAATTTGTTCCTCTTGGAGACTGAGAGTATTTGGGGAAAATCTGCACGGCCAACTAGGTTGGATTAACTCCCCAGCCTTGTGAAAATGGCTTAGACTAAAACCATTTCGTCTCAAACATTTGAATGTTCTCTTACATCCTCCAAGGAGTGTACCTGCCATCTTTGGCCTTTAAAAAGCCCACAGCAGACCACAGTGGCCCGCTAACCCCCCATCACCCTGGGGCCCAGTGAGAGCTGGAGTCTGACACACTGACACAGAGCGTGCCCTGACCTGGGGGCTCTGTTCTGTAGGACTCCAGAGGGCGTCATGCTGTCTTTTCCATAGTTATTCTGAAAAGCAAGCAAAACCAGCACAAACCCTGCTGCTGGGAGAGAGAGGGTCTTCGAGGAGGCCCAGTGAGAGTGTGTGCCATTGTATTCACAGCGGTACGTGCACCCGCACCCACACCCACACCACACCCACACTTGCATCTACCTCCATGCCCACACTTACATCCATGCCCACACCCTGGGGCCCCACACACATGCAGACTGGAGTGGACCTCGCCACCCCACAGCTCACCTGCAGCAGATCCCTGGCTCTTTCTACCACCCTGAGTCATTGTCTTTAAAATTAAAGGAACCCCAAGCCCCTGAGCCCCAATAGTAACAGAGAAAACATGTTTAAAATCATAACTGAATACACTTTTCTGTTCATCTATTTAAGGATTTAGGAAAACCGTGTATTCCATGTGGGAACAAAAACCTGCTTTTCCCTTCATGTGGCGCAGTGTGCAGTATCCTAAATGTGTCATATCTTAAATCAATGTGAGGTTTTTAAATAAGAATAGTGTGTGTTCTGGCAGCTTCTGAACTACTGAAGAAGGGATGGGAGAGGCAGCCCAGGCCCCAGGCGTGAGTCTGGAGGAGAGTGGGTGCCAGGGAGGCCCAGGGTAGCTCCACAGTAACTGGCCCTGCTGTGCGGGAGCCTCAGGACCGCTGTTTGGTCTGGGAAGAAAGGAACACGCTTTCTCCCTGGTTATGGTGGGAGTTGCTAGGATGAAAGTAAATGTGTCAAGTCATTTCCCTCATTGCCCTTTGTTTCTCAGTACCCTCCAGGAGGGAGATTTAGAAAAGAAGATAAAACAGCACATCCACCAAATGCATGAGCGAAGATTCCAAGGCCCAGCCCCGCCGGAGGAGATGAGGAAGGCTGCCGAGGATCTGGAAATTGTAAGGATTTCTTGGTTCTGTTTAAAAATTGTGGGGTTTTTGTTTTCTTTTGTTTTGGTTTTTATTTTTTTGAGATGGAGTCTTGTTCTGTCACCCAGGCTAGAGTGCGGTGGCACAATCTCAGCTCACTGCAGCCTCCGCCTCCCAGGTTCAAGAGATTCTCCTGCCTCAGCCTCCTGAGTAGCTGGGATTACGAGTGTATGTACACCACCACACCAGGCTAATTTTTGTATTTTTAATAGAGATGGGGCTTTGCTATGGTGGCCAGCCTTGTCTCGTACTCCTGGCCTCAAGTGATCCACCTGCCTTGGCCTCCCAAAGTGCTGGGCCACTGCGCTCAGCCTAAAACATTGTTTTGTTAAAAATGAAGGGAACTCATTGTGCCTCTTCAGAGCGTGCGCTCTCTAAAACCATGGGACTGTGTGGAATGTGTCTTATCAGGGTATGAAAATTCCCAGAATTACAGTTGGTCACGTGAGAAGGAAAACATTTCAGCTGAGGGGCTGAGCCCTCAAATGTGCCAGGCCACATGGCAGACGGACCTTGGCATCTCAGCACTGGGCATCTGATGACAGGGGTGGCGGCCTGCTGACAGGGACCAGGAACCCGTCCTCTGCACATGTCTGTGGGGTCCTTGCTGGAGGCTTTGCACCCAGCTGAACCAGGCTCTGGGCCCAGGGCTGGGCCATGAGGGGTGCCACTGCAGAGAGGGGCCTGGCTGAGGCCACCTGGACCATGGCTGACACGCTCAGTGTCTATGTCGGGAGGCCAATATTCATGGGGATCCAAGGCCTCCTGACCGGCAGCCTGCTGACCAGAACTGCTCACAGAAGTGTCTCCTGTACGTTTAGAATGTTAACATCCTCTCAGCCACTGTCAATGGTGTTTATTGACTCAGCATACGCTGAGGCCCACTTCCTGGTACCTGGAGTGTCCTGGGCCATGGAAGACACACAGGAATGAAGGAAAGTGCTTTGCTGCCCGAATTGCTGCATGGCCAGCCCAGCCAGCTATAGAAGGATACAGCTGCCCTCCCTGGCAGTGAACCTGGATACCCGTGTCCCCACCCTTCTTACAGCCATAAGAACACTGGCCTGTCTTCTCGGGCTACCCAAGGCCCCTGGCTGGTGGCGTCTTTCAGGTCAGTGTACCATGCCCGAACACAGGTCAGGCTGGTGCGGGCTGCATCCGGGCTGCCCCCAGAGCAAGCAGCACTGTCACGGGGGAGGAAGCAGCCGTGGCCTTCCTGTCCCCACACCCCATCTGCAGGCTCCATTCCCACCATTTCCACTGTTTCCCTCTCTCCTAGAGCCAGAGATGGGAGAAACGAGGTGTGAGGGCAGGATGTGGAGCCACTTCGTGGAGACCCCACCCAGCCTGACCCGGACCCCTCTTCTGAGACTCTCTTCCTCTCAGCCCAGGGAGTTCGTTTCTGCCTTTAGATAAACTCTTATTCTCTCTGAATCTGTCGTTTATGAGTATGACCTTGTCCTTGGACACCCAAACCTTGCCTCTTAGGGCTTCAGAACATCTGTGTCTCAACCCATCACTTCACGTTATGGACACAAAAGTCGATTTGGTATTATGAACAACTCTAGCCACAGATTTGTTACATTTAGTGAAATAGATGAATCCCTTGAAAGACAACGTCTGCCAAAACTTACAGAAGAAATAAACAATTTGAATATGCTTGTATCATTTACAGGAATTTAATCAATAATTAATCACCTTCCAAAACAGAAATCACAGGCCCAGATGGGTTCACTGGTGAATTCTATCAGACATTTAAGGTTTAAGGAAGAAACTATACCAATTCTGTATAATCTCTTCCAGAAGACAGAAACAGAGAGAAAACATTTTAACTCATTCTCTGAGGCCAGCATTACTCTAATACCAAAACCATACAAAGATATTACAAGAAAGGAAAACTGTAGACCAGTATCACTCATGAACATAGATGCAAAAATTATCAACATTCAGAAATCAAATCCAGCAATATATAAAAGCAATCACACACCCTAGTCCAACATTCAAAAATCAGTTAATGCAATTCATCACATCAGTAAGCTAAACAAGAAAAATCAGGTGGTTTTATCAATAGATGCAGAAAAAGCATCTGACAAAATATAACACCTATCATGATGAAAACTCTCAGCAAACTAGGATAAGCTGGGAACTTCCTCAACTTATTAAAGAACATCCAGAAAAGACCCACAGCTAACATTATTCTTAATGGCGAGAAACTAGAAGCTTTTCCACTAAGATCAGGAGCAAGGCAAATGTATTCCCTCTCACTACTGCTTTTCAGCCTCATGCTGGAATTCTTAGCTAGTTCAAGAAGACAAGGGCTGGTGCGGTGGCTCAAGCCTGTAATCCCAGCACTTTGGGAGGCCAAGACAGGCGGATGACGCGGTCAGGAGATCGAGACCACCCTGGCTAACACGGTAAAACCCCCGTCTCTACTAAAAAATACAAAAAACTAGCCGGGCAAGGTGGCGGGCGCCTGTAGTCCCAGCTACTCAAGAGGCTGAGGCAGGAGAATGGCGTAAACCCGGGAAGCAGAGCTTGCAGTGAGCTGAGATCCGGCCACTGCACTCCAGCCTGGGCGACAGAGTGAGACTCCATCTCAAAAAAAAAAAAAGACAAGAGAAGGAAATAAAAGGTATACAGACTGGGAAACAAGAAATAAAACTGTCTTTGTTCTCAGATGACATGATTATGTATGGAGGAAATCCCAAAGAATTGACAAAAATTTCCTGGAACTAATAAGTGATTATAGAAAAGGTTACAGGATACAAGGTTAATATACATAAGTCAGTCACCTTCCTATGAACCAGCAATTAACAAGTGGAATTTAAGATTAAAAATGTAACATTTAAATTAGCAGCAAAAAAAGGTACTAAGTAAAAAAATCTAACAAAATGTATACAAAATCTATATGAGGAAAAGTACAAAACATTAATGAAATAAATAACCAAATAAATGGACAGATAGTCCATGTTCATGGACAGGAAGACTCAGTATTGTTGGTAGTCAGTTCTTTCCAACTTTAGGTTTCATATGCATTCCCAATCATCATCTCAGCAAATTGTTTTGTGGATATTGACAAACTGTTTCTAAAGCATAGATGGAGAGGATGAGACGTAGAATATCCAACACAGTACTGATGGAAAAGCAAGTCAGAGGACTGACACCCTCCAACTTGAAGACTCTAGAGCTACAATAGCAGTGTGATATTGTCCAAAGAATAGACAAATAGAATAGAGAGCCCCAAAATAGACCCACACAAATATAGTTAACTGATTTGACAGAGGAACAAAAGCAACTCAGTGGAGAAAGCATAGTCTTCAACAGATGGTACTGGAACAACTGCCAAAAACAAAAAAGAATCTAGACATAGACCTCACACCCTTCACAAAAATTAATTCAAAATGGATCATAGACCTAAACGTAAAATGTGTTACTGTACAACTTTTACAAGATAACATAGGAGAAAACCTAAGTGACCTTGGGTATGGTGATGATGTTTAAATACAACACCAAAGCAAGATCCGTGACAGAAATAATTGATACGCCGGGTTTCATTAAAATCAAAAACTTCTGTTCTATGTAAGAGACTGCCAAGAGGATAAGACAGGCCACAGACTGGGAGACAATATTTGGAAAAGATACACCCGATAGAGGACTGTTATCTAAAATATACCGAGAACTCTGAAAAACTCAACAAAAAGGAGCAAACAAGCCAATTAAAAAATGGGCCAAGAATCTGCAGAGACACCTCATCAAAGAAGATGCATGGATGGCAGATCAGCATGTGGAAAGAAGCTTCACGTTGTGTGTCATCAGAAACGCGAGTTAAGACAAGGAGATTCGCCACACAAAAAATCCAAAACACTCACCACCAAATGCTGGTGAGGATGTGGAGCAACGGGAATGCTCATTAATTGCTGGGAATATAAAATGGTACATCCACTTTGGAAGACAGTTTGACAGTTTCTTACAAAATAAATCACACTCTCATCTTACAATCCAGTAATCACACTCCTTGGTGTTTACCCCAAAGGAAATGAAAACTTACGTCTACACCAAAACCTGCACATAGAAATAGCAGCTTTTTTCATAATTGCCAAAACTTGGAGGCACCCAAGATGTCCTTCCGCAGGTGACTGGATAAACTGGAACATGCAGACAGCGGAACATTGCTTAGCACCGGAGGGAAACGAGCCATCAGCAATGAGAAGACACAGGGCAGCCGACACGCCAGCATGAAAAGGCCGTACACAGATGGAGATGGTGAAGGGATCGTGGTGACCGGGTGGGGGTAGTAGGATACTGAGGGGTGAATCAGCAGAACACAAAGGGTTTTAGGGCAGTAAAACTACTCTCCGTGATGCTGTATTGTTGGGTCCACGTGGTGATGCGTCTGTCTAAGCCCCACGGACTGTGCCACCCCACACGTGAGCCTGCGTGTCGACTCTGGACTCTGGGTGGTGGAAACTATGTCCATGTGCGTGCATCAGGTGTACCACTCCGGTGTGGGATGAAGGCTGCTCTAAAAAAATCAAGTCCTGGTTTTTTAAAGTCTGCTTGGAAATCTGAAACCTGAGAGCTGGCTCTTGTGTCCCCCACGGTTCTCCTGTGCTCCCCTGCCCTGGTTACACGCAGAGGAGGGGGGCCGTGAGGCAAAAGAGAATGAGCCAGAAGGACACTGTGGCAGTTGATCTCAAATGCCTACCCCAGGCCACGCCTGTCTCTTCATTGACTTTCATGCCACCTTAGGAGGAAGGCACTGCCACCCATTTCACAGGTCAGAAAATAAGACTCACAGAAGTGCCGTAACTGGCCCCACGGTGACACTGTGAATGGTGGAGCCTTCCATCCAACCTGGGTATGTCTGAATGCAAAGCCAAGGTCCAAATGCTGCACTGTCTTCTTGGGGACATGAATTGCCACAAATTCACGTTGTGCTTTAATACTTGTCTCGTGTTTTTCTGTGATTAAAAAAAATTCACATGAAGTTCTTGATGAAGGGTTCAGGTCACCAGCACCGGCTTCTGTCATGTGCCAACTCCAAGTTACTGCCAAGATGCAGGGAGGGATGTGCTGTGTCACCCTGCCCAGGAGACAGGGACATGAACACCCGCTAACTTTCCATGACAGGCTCCTGCAGCGCTTGAGCCCTGGGGATGCCCATGGGGCGGTTCCCTTCGTTTCAGTCCTGGCTGGGAGAGCCAGAGGAAGGGGTTTTAAAACTCCCAAGAATGAGTTGGGAAGCAGCTGATCCTAGCCCTGGAGGTGAACTGTGTTGAGACAGGTGGTGTTGGCTGTCCATAAGCTCCAGCCATCCTTCTCCTCTGTCCCACTGCCTCTCACAGAGGACCAGGTGGGTGGGCAGGGCAAGGGAGAAGGGACCCTCTGAGACAGTCCAGAACAGTGTGGCAGGCGTCTGTGCCACCTGATGGCCTCATTTTTAGGAAACAATCTTAATTATAGTTTTTTCTGAAATTTGCCTTCTGAGCACCTGGATCTCCTGTAGGCTCAGTCCATTTCAAATGACCCTCCCTTTTTCTGCTGTCTACACAGGCCCACTAGCAAAAAAGAAAGTGCTGTGTTCTTTAGACTCAGTAGGGAACCTATTTGTATAATCCTGGCGAGAGGATCACGCTGGCCCTCCCTGCAGGTGAAGCCTCGGGCTTTGCCGGAAGAGTGTGACTTTCCTTAGAGCTGGGGCCCCCAGGCAGGGCCTGAGCAAACCCTGCAGCAGCATTAGAGACCAGTCCTGGCTCCGTGGTGTGCAGCCCGCCAGCCTGTATGGAGGCGGGCACGCACGTGCCTGAGACAGTTGGCATGTTCCAGGCAGACAACCATCTAAGTTCACACTACGCCTCTAGAAGCAGAGAGTCTCGTTCTGCCGGCTTCTTCCCCGGCCCCTCGTGTTTCCTTCAAGGCCCCTGCGCAGTGCCGTGCATGGCGTAGCGCTAGTGAGGAGTCCTCGGTGACATGGCGTGCGTCGGGAGCACCCCCCACCACCCCGTGCGCCCTGGAGCCTGGCCTGTGGGAGAAGGGGATGCCAAATGGGGGAAGTAGGCGGGGCTGGAGTCCAGCCCATGAGCCAGGAGCTTGCGTTTGATTAGAGGGCCAGGATGGACGGGTCAGGGGAGAGAGAGAAGAAAGCCCAGAGGGATGAAAAAGAGATGCTGAAAACCAGCCAACAGACGTGGCCCTTGCAGGTCACCACGGCCCGTTCTGCACATAGACTTGTCTCCACTCTGCCCAGAAGCCACCAGAATGACAGGAGAGGGAGCAAAAACGACCTTCGCTCCTCAGGACGAGAAAACGGAGAGGAGCCTGCCCTCTTGTCAGGAGGCTCCCCCTTCCCCATGGTCTTTCCTGTAATAATAGAGCCTCACGTCTCAGCTGGGCACAGGCTGCCCCACAAATGGCCACGTTTCTCTACCTCCCTTGCAGCCAGACGTGGGCCTGTAGCTCCATTCCGGCCGGCAGGATGTGAGCAGATGAGCGTGGACTTCCTGAGCTTTGTCCTCTCCCTTCCTGGCTGGAATACAAACATGATGGCCAGAGCAGGGGCAGCCACCTCAGCCCTCAGGTGGAGGTCATGGGCCAGGGCTGCAGAGCCAGTGTGCAGTAGCCTGTCCCCGGTGCGGGTGCAGGTGGAGGCCGTGGGCCAGGGCTGCAGAGCCAGTGTGCAGTAGTCTGTCCCCGGTGCGGGTGCTGTCCTCTCAGACACACTGCTCCACCTGGTCTCAGTTGCTGTCGTCTGGGGGCTGGCAGGCGAGCCGTGTCCTCACACACGGAGGCCCGGGCGATTTTGCACGAAGGAAGCCCCCTAGTGGCGCAACGTGAAGGGCCTGCCGAACAAAATGCCAGCAAAGACGCAAGGTGATGCAGCCCCAGAGCACAGGAAGACAAAACCAACCACAGAGGGATTGGAAGCGGAGGCCGGGGCGCGGGGGCGCAGGCCTGCAGTCCCAGCACTTTAGCAGGCTGAGGTGGGTGGATCACCTGAGGTCAGGAGTTCGAGACCAGCCTGGCCAACATGGTAAAACCCCGTCTCTACTAAAGATACAAACAATTAGTTGGGCACGTTGGCGCCACCTGTAATCCCAGCTACTCGGGAGGCAAAGGCAGGAGAATGACTTGAACCTGGGAGGCAGAGGTTGCAGTGAGCTGAGATGGCACCATTGCACTCCAGCCTGGGCAACAAGAGCGAAACTCTGTTTCCAAAAAAAAAAAGAAAAATGAAGTGGAGTCTGTACAGGTCACAATAGGGCCCTGGGCCTGCTTCCCTACTCCGCCCAGCCCACTGACTCCTCCAGCCTACCCAGCAGGAGACAGGGCTGCCTCTAGAGAAGCTGACCAACCAGGCACCGTGGTGGTGACAGCGGCCACGTATGACCTAAAGAGCTCTGCAGAAGATCAGGTGCACAACCGACCAGGAGGGCCAGCCAGCTCCGTGGTGCTGTCTGAGATATCAACCAACCAAGACAGAAGCCACCTGGGTGTCCCCCAGACAGCCCCGGCCTGCACTGAGCAGCCAGCAGCTCTCCACCAACACCCCAATCTCAGCCTTGCTCCAGGGCCTCAGTCATGAGTGGTTGCTCAACTACTGAGGGAAGCCCCAAGGTGAGGGAGAGGCCAAAGCTAGCTGGCTGGGAGTGAGCTTCAGACGGATGCAGACATTAGGGGACACTTAAACATGACAAGCCAGAATTAAAATCCCCCCACGGGAACAGACAAGGCTGCTGCCATGAAACCCAGCGGCTGTTTTAGAAAGTGAACACTCAGATCACCCAGAACTCCCAAAGCAAAGTTTAAAATGTGGCAAAAATTTTTGAAAATTAAATTAGTAGATGCATAAATTCCCCAGGAAGGGGAGATGGGAAACAGAGATGAGACAAGAGGAAAGGAAGTTAGAGGACGACCCAGGCAGAGCAAAGCATCCGGCAGGTTCCAGCAGGAGAGACGAGAGCAGACGGAGGGAGAGGGCGCAGGAGGTCTTCTCGAAGGAACCAGTGTACTTCCTGCCAGAAGGGCCCACACGTGCCGGCACCATGGCTCAGCATCCCGAACCAGAGCAGGACGGACCCCCCGAGATTCCAGGGAGGGCGGGGAGAGAGGCCCACACAGAACCAGGCACTGGGAGGGAGCTGGTCTCGGTGATGGCACTGCCCTCAGCAGGCACTGGGATTCGGTCCTACGGGTGCAAGGTCAGGGGCCAGCACACAGTAAGACGTTTTCAGACATGCAAGGACTCAAAATGCTGCTTCCCATCTAGAGAGCTTCTCCAGAAGCCACTGTAGAGCTTGTTCTATCAGAACAAGGGAGTGGATGCTGAGAGAGGAAGGTGAGAGTTCCGGAGGAAAGGGAGCTGACCAGAAGCCCCCGGCCACCCGCTGCTGTGAGAGGAGCCTGTCGGGGGTCTCCCCAGGGAGACCAGGCCAGTCTGAGGACTTGGCCAGTGGAGGAGGATGTTGAGAGAGGTTTTACAGTTTGAGAGGATATAATGACCGATATAGAAAACAAAGTAAACATTTTTAAAGGAGGCAGTTATGAATCCTACAGGGAATACAGGTTTCTATGGGAAGTGAAAAACGTTATCAATGACTATTTACTGGGTCAGTGACAAGTAATATTGACCAAGTCACAGAGCCAGAAGCCATGAGTGCTGCTCTAGGCCACAATTGTGATATGGAGGGGGAGGCTGCAGGGGTCTCTGGGGACCTGCTGTGATTATGGCTGTATGGGGGGGAAGCTGCAGGGGTCTCCGGAGACCTGCTGTCATTATGGCTGTATGGGGTGGGGGGAAGCTGCAGGGGTCTCCGGAGACCTGCTGTCATTATGGCTGTATGGGGTGGGGGGAAGCTGCAGGGGTCTCCGGGGACCTGCTGATGGCTGTATGGGGTGGGGGGAAGCTGCAGGGGTCTCCGGAGACCTGCTGTCATTATGGCTGTATGGGGTGGGGGGAAGCTGCAGGGGTCTCCGGGGACCTGCTGTGATTATGGCTGTATGGGGTGGGGGGAAGCTGCAGGGGTCTCTGGGGACCTGCTGTGATTATGGCTGTATGGGGGGTGGGGTGCAGTGCTCTCCAGGGACCTGTTGTGATTTGTCTGTATTGGGGGGGAGGCTGCAGGGGTCTCCCAGGACCTGCACTGGAGATCGTATCCAACCTGTGCCCCCAGTGAGGCAAGCTGGGGAGGGAGAGGAAAGCCAGGTAGCCCAGGGCTCCTGTGCTTGGAGTGGGGAGGTTGGGATTCTGCAGAGGGCTGGAGGGGCAGGAACAAGAAGAGCCTCTCCTCAGTTTCTCCACCTGAGGCCCCCCTGCAGTGCCTTTCTCAGCCTCACCTTATTCTGCCCAGGGGATTGGCCATGGACCATGGGGTTTGGAACAGAAAGCCTGCCTCTGGTTTCAGGCTCGGCAAGTTCCTTCTGTAGGAACCCCTGATCCATGGCTTCTGTGTCTGTGGGGCGGAGGTGGCAATTGTGGCCCCAACTGCTTCCCAGGGCAGTTATGGCTTTCAGGTGTGGTCATGGCTGTGGTGATGCTTTCCAACACACTGCCCAGGGTGTGGCACCAGCCTTCCCTTTGCCCACAGGATGATGCCGAGTCTCTGTTCATCCACTGACCTGCGTCTGCACAGGACACCTGGGTGGGGCTGTGGGGACACCAGGATGAGTGGCCACGTGTGTGCCTGCAGAGGGTGGTGTCCTCATGAGGTGGAAGGCCTGGGAGCTGGCTGGAAGCAGGCTGCCGGGCCTCATTGCAGGGGAGACCATGCCATGATGTGGCTTGCAGGGGCCCCAGGGGAGCGGGGCTGGCTCTGCTCACTCCCACACGGCCTGGGCCCCACGTGGAATCTGAGCCAGAGACATATGGACGCCCTAAGTCCTGCCAGCTTCTAACGTCTCCCCCTCCTTGTCTCCCACAAGGCCAAAGAGCTGCAGGATGAAGTACTGAAGCTAAAATTGGGATTAGCCTTGAACAAAGACCGTCGATGGGCGGCCCTCGCTGGAAACCTGTCACTTGGCCCGCCAGCGGCACAGCCACAAAATACATTTTTTAACACAAAATATGAAGAATCAGGAAATGTTCGCAGATACAAGTGACACCAGGTGGCTGGACTAACAGAGACGTCTTCAGACAGGAGCCGCGCATTCTTCTTTCCCAGGCGTCGCCTCCTGTGTGGTGGCCGGAAGAGCGCCAGGTTCAGTGTTACCCTTAGGGCTGATTTCTCGGCAGCCTGTTCTCCTTAGACAAGTCCGTGTTCCTCTCCTGAGGCTGTGGAAGATTTCAGCCGTATTAACAGAAAGGACACTGTGAGCACGTGGTCTCGCTTTCACTTCTTTCCGCAGGTTCCTGCCAAGCCACGTGACAGAATGCTCATGCTCAGGCACCTGCCTCTCTCCTGCCCTGGAGCCCTTGTTACAACAGTACTCACAGCTTTCATTCACTTAGGTATTTGAGTGTGAGATAGGAGACCAGGTCATCTGATTCCCGCCAAGCCACAGGTCCCTGCAGCACCACCTTTGGCTAGGAGGGAGGGGTGAGAGCCAAAAGGGGCTTCAGGGGGAGTGGTTACCCTGCTCCCTGCCCAGCTATGGGGTCCTCCTTTCCCCTGGGGGCCCTCCTTTCCCCTGCTCCCTGCCCAGCTATGGGGCCCTCCTTTCCTCTGCCCCCTGCCCGGCTACAGGGCCCTCCTTTCAGCCTTGACCCCTTCCTGGTTGCTGCCACTCAGCCTGCACGTGGGACAGCGGACTCCACCCCAGGGACACGGCAGGGTCCACAGACCTCCGCGTCGTAGATAGCCTTATTTCACCCTCTGTCTGCGCAGGCTGTGTAGATTCTGTGTGACTTAGTCTCTTGTGATGAGTGTTTGATTGGATCTGTTTTTGTTTTTTTTTTTGAGACGGAGTCTCACTCTGTCTCCCAGGCTGGAGTGCAGTGGCCCGATCTTGGCTCACTACAACCTCCACCTCCTGGGTTCAAGCGATTCTCCTGCCTCAGCCTCCTGAGTAGCTGGGACTACAGGCCTCAGCTAATTTTTGTATTTTTTAGTAGAGACGGGGTTTCACTATATTGGCCAGGCTGGTCTTGAACTCCTGACCTTGTGATCCGCCCGCCTCGGCCTCCCAAAGTGCTGGGATTACAGGCGTGAGCCACCGCGCCCGGCCAATTGGATCTTGAAAACATCTTTGGTTTGATTTCTTTAACAGAGGTGAGACCATTCAGACTTTGTTTCTTTTTCTGTTAATTTTGGTAAATACGGTTTTCAGTGAGTTTCCTCATTTCATCCAAGTTGTGCGATGTATTAGCATAAAGTTCCTCTTATTTTCAGTATCTCGAGGATCCGTAATAAGGTCCTCTCTTTTATTCTTGACCTGGTGTTCTTCATCATTCTTGCTATGGATTTATCAATGTTGTTCCTCTTTTCCAAAAGCCCTGGGTTTTGGCTTCACTGGATTTGCTGCTTGTTTTCTGTCTCATGGGTCTCTGCGCCCTGCACTTCCTACTTTCCGAGCTAAACGCTCAGAAAGTGGGAACTGGTGCTTAGAGAGAAATGCATCACCACCCAACCCACGTCTTAGAGAAGAAGAAGGGTGTGAAACTGATCATCTAAGCTTTCCATTCAAGAAGCTAGAAGAGGTGTCAGTGACCTGTTGCAGCCCAGCAGCTGGAGCAGCAGACCTTTGCCATTTCTCATTTCTCAGGCCTGAGGGCAGGAGTCGGGGCAGCTTAGCCGGCGTTGCTGGTCAGGGTCTCTTGTGAGGCTGGAGTCAGCCATGGGTTGAGCTGCTCTCCTTTGAAGGTTTAACTGGGCTTGGGGCTCAGCTTCCGAGCTGCTCACCTGGTTGTCGATCAGAGAGCGTGTCCGCTATGATCCCAGTCCTTTGAAACAGCATTTCCTCTTACTCCGTGTTCTCGGGGAATGCGTGATCTCGGATGCCATCCTTCTCATCTCCGGCATTTCCTCTTACTCCATGTTCTCAGGGAATGCGTGATCTCGGATGCCATCCTTCTCATCTCCGGCATTTCCTCTTACTCCGTGTTCTCGGGGAATGCGTGGTCTCGGATACCATCCTTCTCATCTCCGGCATTTCCTGTCACCTCCGTGTTCTCAGGGAATGCGTGGTCTCGGATGCCATCCTTCTCATCTCCGGCATTTCCTCTTACTCCGTGTTCTCAGGGAATGCGTGGTCTCGGATGCCATCCTTCTCATCTCCGGCATTTCCTGTCACCTCTGTGTTCTTGGGGAGTGCGTGGTCTCGGATGCCATCCTTCTCATCTCCAGCATTTCCTGTCACCTCCATGTTCTTGGGGAATGCGTGGTCTCAGAACCCATCCTGCTCCTCTCCAGCGTTTCCTGTCACCTCCGTGTTCTCATTCTCGTCTCTGCCGTAATTCCACATCTGCTCGCGGATGCCGTCCACCTTTTCCAGTAGATCCTTTTACATCATCATTATAATGATTTTTTAAAATAAGTGTTTTCTTTCAATCGTTTTAAATTTCAGATGTTGTGTTTTTCAGGTCTAAAGTGTCCGGTAATTTTTTGTGAATGCCGATTCTCTGTTGAAATTCTCCATCTTTTCATTCCCTTTATATCTCTTTTCTTCTTTTTTCTATAACATATTACATTTGTCTCATAAGTTTTTAGTGAGTACAAAGCATCGTATAAGTTGACCCTTGAATAAGAGTTTGAATTATAAGGGTCCACTTGTAAGTGGATTTTTAAAAATAAATATATTGGAAAAATTTTTGGAAATTTGCAACAATTTGAAAAAATTTGCAGATGAACCACATAGCCTAGAAATATCTAAAAGAAAAAGAAAAAGTTAGGTATGTCACGAATGCATAAAATATACAGACCATACATGGACCATTCACAGTAGAGAGAAATGTCGCCATAAAGATGCAGCATTGGCCGGGGGCAGTGGCTCACGCCTGTAATCCCAACACTTTGGGAGGCTGAGGCAGGCAGATTACTAAAAATACAAAATTAGTTGGGCGTGGTGACACATGCCTGTAATTCCAGCTACTGGGGAGGCTGAGGCAGGAGAATCGCTTGAACCGGGGAGGCAGAGGTTGCGGTGAGCCGAGATCACGCCACTACACTCCAGCCTGGGCAACAAGAGCAAAACTCTGTCTCAAAAAAAAAAAAATACAGCATTAAATTATAACTGCATTAAATTAACTGCAGTCCACAGCGTGCTGCTGGAATAATTACAAAGCCACCTCCTGTTGCTATTGCAGTAAGCGTAAGCATTTCAAGGATCTGCTTAAAACACCATGTGGTGCTAATCTGTGCATGGGCAGTTCATATCTTCAGTACATTGTGTATCACAATAAAAAGTGGTCTATTTTAACTGGACATAGTGGCACATGCCTGCAGTCCCAGCTACTCGGGAGGCTGAGGCAGGAGGATCCCTCGAGCCCAGGAGGTGGAGGCTGTGGTAATCTGTGATTGCACCACTGCACTCCAGCCTGGCCAACAGAGTGAGACCCCAACTTGAAGAAAAGGTGCCATCTGGATGTTCTTGTGTATTTCTCGTGTTTAGCGCAATACTATAAACCTTGAAGAGCACTTCGGGGCCCATGGAGCACCACCAGTCATGCCAAAGAGCTCCTGAGAAGCAGAGAAAAGTCACGACATTTCAAGAAAAAATTGAGTTTCTTGATATGTTCCTAAGATTGAGGTTTATAGCTGCAGTTGCCTACCAATTCAAGGTAAATGAATCCAGCGTAAGGACCGTAGTAAAAAAAGGAAATTTGTGAGCAGGCACAAAAGCCTTAACACTTTCTGTGAAATACCTTTTTATCTTGTATTGGGAATGCAGCTTTTATGTGGGTGCAGGGTTGCTGTGTGTGATGGTTCATATTAAGTGTCAACTTGATTTGATTGAAGAATGCAAAGTATTGTGTCTAGGTGTTTCCAGAAGGGATTAACATTTGAGTTACTGGACTAGGAGAAGACTCACCGCAGTGTGGGTGGACACCATCCGATCGGCTGCCAGCATGGCTGGAAAAAGCAGGCAAAAGAAGGTGGCTGAAGCTGACTGGCTGAGTCTTCTGGCCTTCATCTTTCTCCCGCGCTGGATGCCTCCTGCCCTTGAACATCGGACGCCAAGTTCTTTGGCTTCTGGAGTCTTGGACCTACACCAGCGTTTTGCCAGGAGCTCTCGGCCTTCGGCCACAGACTGAAGGCTGCAGTGTTGGCTTCCCTCCTTTAGAGGTTTTGGGACTCAGACTGAGCTGCTACTGGCTTCCTTGCCCCTCCGTTTGCAGACAGCCTGTTGTGGGACTTCACCCTGTGATCCTCTGCATCAGTTCTCCTTAATAAACTTCCTTTCGTGTATGTATGTATCGTATTGTGTCCTTCTAGAGAACCCTTACTGATACACTATGAGAAAGGTGTACCTACAGACTCCTCAAACAAAAGGAAGGGGAAGGAGCTGAAGCTGGAGGATCTAATCCCAGCAAAGGATGGTTTGACAACTTTAGAAAGAGGCTTGGCTGGAAAAATACCAAGATAACGGAGAGGCAGCTTCTGTCAGCCAAGGGGCGGCAGACAAGTTCCTGGATACATATACCATGAAGAAAGTCACTGAGGAGAAAGAGGATAAAGGATGTCTGCCTGAACAGGTTTTTAATGCAGACCTAAGTCCCCTATTCTTGAAAAAAAAAAAAGCCACAGGCATGAATGAGGAAGACAAGCAAGTACCAGAATTTAGGGCAGGAGGGGAGAGGCCAGCTCTGCTGTTCTGTGCAAATGCAGCCAGATTATGATCAGGATGCCCTTATCCAGAAAGCTGCTAACCCCCGAGCTTGAAGGGAAAAGAGAACACCAGCTGCTCCTTGGTCGTACAAGAAGGCTGGACAAGAACCTCTTTTCTGGGTTGATTCCATCAATGCTTTGTCCCTGAAATCAGGAAGTACTTTGCTTCTTATAAATGACTGCCTTTTAAAGCTCTGGCATCGGACAATGCCTCTTGGCCACCCAGAACCCCATGATTCAACAATGAAGGTGTCAAAGGAGCCCACTTGCCCCCAAACACGTCTCCAATGCAGCCTCTGGCCCAGAGGCCATAGGGACCTTGAAGCCTCATTGTATGCGGCACTGTGTGGACAGGAGTGTAGTGCTGGCGAAGAGGAACTTCAGAGAACACCATGAAAGGCTGAGGGATTACACACTGGACTTGCCGTCATGGTTGGAGAAAAGGCTGGGAAAGCCACGAAGCCTGAAAGGGCACCTTCTTGCTGGGGAAAACCGTGTCCAGATGTTGTGTACAACTTCGCGGCACTGGTGACAGCCCATCCCGGAAGTG